CAGCCTCAACCTACTGGGCTCAGGCGATCCTTCCGCCTCAGCCTTCCAAGTAGCTGGAACTACAGGCATGTGCTACCAACGCCCATCTTATTTTTTTATTTCCTATAGAGATGAGGCCTCATCAAGTTATCCAGGCAGCGCTTGAACCTGTGAGCTCAGGCAATCTTCTCACTTCAGCCTCCCAAAGTGCTGAGGTTACAGGTTTAAGCCACCATGCCCAGCCCAAGTATGCCTGGATTTTAATCCCTGTATTGCAAATAATTTGAACACTAACTGGCTGACTGAAGCAAAGCACTTTCTCACTGTAATAGAATGAGCATTAAAAAGAGATATGGCACATAAAATGTATTACAATGAAATGTGAAAGCAACTAGAAATTATTAAAAATCTTACAAAAGAAAAAGAAGATCATTAATATTGCTATCAACTAGCCTGGCTAGTAAAATGATACTGTTTAAAACATTAAGTGGGACGTCGTGGCTCACGCCTGTGATCTCAGTACTTTGGGAGGCCAAGGCGGGAGAACTGATTGAGCCCAGGATTCAAGACCACCTAAGCAACATACTGAGACCTCGTTTCCACAAAAATTAAAAATCATGATAATAATAATTAGCCAGGCACAGCACTGGTGCACACCTGTAGTCCTAGCTACTGGAGAGGCTGAGGGGGGAGGACTGCCTGAGTCCAGGAGGTCAAGGCTGTGGTGAGTCAGGATCATGCCACGGCACTCCACCTGAAAACAGAGTGAGAGCCTCGACTCAAAATAAACAGACAAACATGTTAACCAGAACTATATAATTAACCAGAACTACCTGACTCAAAAGAAACTGCAGTGGAAGAACGTTGAAGGCACTGGTTTTGTCACCAGTTATGCTGACACATGTTACAACATTCCTATTCAGGTACCTAGAACAGTTTTTCCCCCTAATAGCCTGCAATGTAAAAAAGGTATCCAACCTTTCTATTTTTCATTTATTTTATATTTATTCTACAGCTTTATTATAGTGTATTATACAACAACCTGGCTATATTCAATGTACAGAATTTGATGAGTTTGGACACACGCATACACTTGTGATCCCATCACCACAAAGTAATAAACATACCCATCCCTTCCAGAAGTTCCCTGTGTCCCTTTGCTTTGTGGTGTGTCTTTCTTTTTTGGTGTTAAGTACAGTCAACATGAGATCTTCTCAGTCAACAAAACATTTCTTGAGAGACAGGGGACTCACTGCTGCTGAGACTGAAGTGCATCATCTAGTCACAGGCACAACCATGGCACCCAACAACCTTGAACTCCTGGCCTCAAGTGATCTACCTCAGTCTACAAGTTGCTACGACTACAGGCACATGCCACTGCACTTGGCACTTGCCCGTTTTTAAGCACAAAACACTGTCTTGTTAACTATAGGTGTCGGGCGACACAGAGGTGTCTCTTCCGCATTCAGCATGAACGAGTGACTCCTATCTCCCCCTCCTCCCGTTCGTTCCCTGGCAACCACCATTCTATTTTCTGCTTCTCTAAGTTTGACAGCTTTAGATGCCACACAGAAGGGAAAACATGCGCTATCCGCCCTTCTGTGACAGACTTATCTCACTGGCGTCTTCCTTCATGGATGTCTTCCAGGTCCATCCATGTTGTCACAAATGGTCCATTTCCTTGTTTTTTAAAACTGAGAGGTATTCCAATGCAGGTATGTTGGGAATAATGCTGCAACAAGCGTGTGAGTGCAGATTTCTGTTTCAGATCCTGACTGCAATTCTTCTGGATATAACACCCAGGAAGGGAACTGCTGGACCACAGGGCAGTTCTGTTTTTAGTGTTCGAGGAACTCCATACTATTTTCCACAATCCTAGCACCAAGGTACACGGTTCCAAATTCTCTACAACACTTGCTTGCTTGCTTGTTGTCTTTCTTTTGATTTTGGGGTTGATTCATGTGTTTTTGATTTCTTTCCTGCATTCCTGGGAAGGGCTCTGTCATTCTTTTTTCCTTTCTTCTGTGTTTGACACTTTCTTAACTATTTCTTATAGAGCTGGTCTGGAGGCAGCATAAACTCTTAGGGACTGAATGTCTGGGAAGGATTTTAATTCTCCATCACTGATGAAGCTCAACTTAGCTGGGTAGGTAATTCTTGGTTGACATTGTTTATCTTTGAGACCTTTGAAGATTGGGCTCCAAGGTCTCCTAGCCTGAAGTGTTTCTGTAGATAAGTCTGCTGCTATTCTAACTGGTTTTCCCTGGTAGGTAGTCTGGCCTTTTTCTCTTGCTGCCTTTAGGATTTTTTCTTTTATATTTACTTTGTGTAGGCGAATTACTATGTGTCTGGGAGTTGGTCTTCTCATTTGTTGTCTTGCAGAGGTTCTCTGAATCGCTTATGTTTGAATGGTTGCATCATTGATGAGGGAAGTTTTCTTGGATAATTTCATGGAATATGTGTTCCAGGGTGGTCTCTGTCTATCTGCCTCAGGGATTCCAAGTGATCTTAGGTTCAGTCTCTTGAAGTAATCGCTCATCTCTTGGAGGTTTTGTTCTGTCTTTTTAAGCTTCTTTTCTATGTTTTTAACAGTTTGGGTTAGTTCCCTATTTTGGTCCTCAAGCTCTGAGGTTCTACCTTCTGCTTGGTTAATTCCACTTTCTATGCTTATCAGTCTGCTGTTTATTTCTTGTTTGTTTGTTTTTTGTTTTTTTGAGTTGGAGTCTCACTCTGTCGCCCAGACTGGAGTACAGTGGCCGCTCCCGGTCACCGCAGTCTTGACTTGCTGGGCTCCAGCGATCCTTCTGCCTCAGCCTTCCGAGTAGCCAGAATTTCAGGCATGCACTACCACGCCCGGCTGATTTTTGATTTATTGTAGTTGTTGATTTCATTCACTGTATTCTTTATTTTTGATAACTCTGTTATCAACAACATCATTCTTTCCTCTTGTCTCTCCTCATCTCTATTTATTCTCTCTTAATATCTTGATATCTGGGCTTGATTTGAGACCAGTCATTCTGGGAACTCTTCACTGTGTGAGTTCTGAAGTCTGTATTTTCAGTGGCTGACCTCCCAGAGATCTGTGTAAGACTCATCTTCCTTTGGTTTTTCTTCATTCGCATAGGTTTTCCTCCCCCCTTTTTTAACCTCTTCTTTAATTCTGTTGTTCAGTGATGGGGGGATGGCTTTTATTTCTGTCTGTTCAATCTCCTATTCTTCCTTATGTAGATTCTCTGGTTTTCATCCGTTCTGAAGCTGGACTGGGGGTAAGGGACTGTGCTTTTGCAGTTTTGAGATCTAATTAAGGGAGGGAAGCTGTGATTCGGAAGCTATCTGCAGATCCCAGGATCCACCAACAGGTGTATAGGCCCCTGGAACCCTACTGCCTTACAATCTGTCCATGCAGTGGAGGTGTCTGTTTCCCCTCTGAAAGCAAAATGAGATAAGAAAAGGGAAAAGAATGGGAAAAGGAAGGAGGAAGATGAAAGGAAGGTGGGAAGAGAGAGAAGAAGGAAAACAGGCTCACTGAAGCCTCAACTTGCTGGGCTCAGGGGATCCTTCCACCTCAGTCTCCCAAGTAGCTCCACACCATCATGCCTGGATAATTTAATTTTTTTTGAAGAGACAAGGTCTCAATATGTTGCCCAGGCTGGTCTCAAACTCCTGGGCTCAAGCTATTTCCCCACCTTAGCCTGCTGGGATTATAGGTGTGAGCCACCACACTCAGCAACTTGTGTTTATTATTCTAACCTTTCTTACAAAATATTTTTTTTGCCTTGTAAGAGATCTGAACTGCAGAACTCTGAAAATGAAAATCGAAGCCTTTACTTCATTTTGGTCACCATGTTATTAATTTGAAGGACAAAAAGAAATTCAAGTCAGGTCTGAGTCTGATCTATATTTGTGTCATAATGACGCTGTCACCCAGATTTTTAGAAGTGAATGAAATTCAGGCCACAGTCAAAGTCTGAACAGGTTCGCCATGATGCTCCTGATATCCTGGCCCTTCTTCACAAAAGCTGGAGTGTTGTAGAGGGGGTGGGTTTGGAAGGACTCTGGAACTCAAGAGTGATGGGTGGGGTGAAGCATTAAAAAAGCGATGTGCCCTGACTGACCGCTGTCTACTCCGTCGAGAACTGGCCAGGTGAGAGGGAGGTCGGCAAGTCAAAGCGGGACCCGAGAGCATCAAGCCAAGGCCACAACCCGGGCATGGCAGTGGCGACATAATGGCAACAAAAGCTATGCAGACAGTGAGAAGCAATCCTTTGTTGGATATTTTTCAAAGGCCAAGTCAAAATAATCTAACACACTGGATACTGGATATGAGATAAGAAAATCAAGAATCATGCCAAGGTTTCTGAACTGAGCAACAAGAATAGGGCTTTCATCAGCTAAGATGACAGAGAGAAGACGGTAGAGACTGTGCGTGGAACAGACTTTGGAGGAGATTAAAGTAGTTCAGTTTTGGACATGTCAGTGGGCTGTTAGACAAATCTGACTGAGGACAGAGGTCTGGCCAAATATAAATTTGATCATTTTTAGGCATATGAACAATATTTAAAGCCACGAGAGTCAAAATTCCAGAACTAAAAAGGATCTTTCATGCAATACAAGTCACCCCTTCTTACAGGAAGACAAGTAAGGTCTAAAGAAAGGTAATGATGTGTCTAAGGTCAGACACACATCAAACAATTTTAACAGACTGGTATTCTTCCTTAGCCCTGCGTTTCTTGAGGACACTGCCTGCCATCTGCTATCATTACAGGGCTTTGAAGGCTAAGCAAAGGTTCTGCTTCAGACAAGACTCCCCAAATACCATGCTCTGGGTACAACAGCATTTTCTTAAAAAGCGTATGTGGAAACATGAAGTATCTAGCACATAGTAAGCACGCCATAAATGTCTGTTTAATAAATGAATACATTTTCTGTTAATTTAATAGCCTAACCTTACTGTGACATTATATGAATATCCAATTCCCACTTGTTAAAGTGGTTATATTTAATCAAATATTTGTACTTACCTGATATTTAAGCCAATGAAGTTTGTCCATGTGAAAATATAATCTCCACCAAAGACCATTCCAATATAAGTTATTAATATATTCTAAAAATAAAAATGGCAATATACCGTTACATGGGTTTAACTGTACTTTAAAAATATATACATTTAAACCCATCCACGCTGTGACCCAAATATGTCATAAAATGCAAAACAAATAAACAGATCAACAAATAACCAACACAAACACACCAATCCTGTAAGAGCACAGTATGAGCAAGAACACTATTAAGTGTTAACACTATTAAGTTAACCTAGCCTCTTCCCAACTGATCTCTCCCGAAGAAAAATCTTTTACCAAACTTGAAGAACACTGCCCTGGGGTATGAAACTACACTGAGAAACACTGCCGTTACGAGGGGGTAGAAAATACAAAGACATGGATGGAAATCTTAGAAGAGACTGGTTTCTTTTTCCCCTTTGGAAAAATTGTTGACTTGTGAGTGGAAAGTGAAGAAGAAAAGACTGCTTATATGCCAGCATTATCTCCCTCTTCTTTTACAAAGGAAAAGGGAAATGGCGGGGACTGTATCAACATAAAGACTGTTTTTAGAGGAATTTTCCTTGATATTTTACATAGGAAATCATCTCCAAGTTTTATAACTAAAACCACCTCTTTTGATGCCCCCCAGAGGCAAACATCTGGACCCTTTTAATTATCCCAAGACCACAAAAGCAAAAACCAAGTTTCTAAAGTTTAAACTACAGACTGAATATCCCTTACTGGTCCCAAGTGCTTGGGCCTGGAAATATGTCTGATTCCGAATGTTTTCCAATCTTGGAATATTCACATTATACTTACCAGTCAAGTAGCCCAATTCCAAAAATCTAAAATCCAGAATGCTCCAATGAGCATTTCCTTTGAATGTCATGTTGGCACTCCAAACTTTCAATTTTGGAGCCAGCATTTCAGATTTTGAAGAAAATCAAAATATTTTACCCAAAAATATATTTCTTTGACATATACTGTCAGAGAGCTAGCAAAGACAAGTAGCCCTACAAAGCTGTCTTTTGTGGGGGAAATATACATTTGCAGAAAATCTTCGTTGATGCAGCCAGGTCTTCTGTCCAGATCCAGGAAAGATGGACCGAGAGTCTGCCACCCCTTTTTAAAGGTGAGGTTTCATCTACATAACAAGACACCCTTTGCTAACCAAGCTCCTCTTCTCTCTGTCCCATAGGCTATTTTGCCAGGATCCAAGCCCCCATTCTTTCTGTGACCTCGAAAGGTTATATAAGCTTCTACACCCCACTGGGAGACAGGGAAATCATTCTGTCATACTTCCATGTACACACAAACAGACTAGACACCTTTTCTCTTGTTAATCTGTCTCTTGTGAGTTGCTTTTTCAGCTAACCTTCCCTCCCTGATATTTTGGCACAGTGAGCAGGGTCACCAAAGCTACTATGCTCTTCTGAGAGCTACAGTGAAGAGAAGCCAGGAGCTGATCAGCTGGCCTATGAATAAAAATCTCTTATCAGCCAGGCTACTTGCCCCCTTCTGTCTGTGGAACCTGGTAGAGCAGACAGTCAAAATCACTCTGTGAAAGGAGGGTCCTCAAGAAATTTAAAATAAATGTATTTCACATTTTGCCTCAGCATAGCCATTTTGCTTAGACTGACACGCTTTGAATCTAGCACAGGTTAGACAGAGAAAGATAAATTTCCAACAGGCAGGCTTTAGGAAGACACTTTACTGCAAGCCAAGCTGGTAGCCTACCCCACCCTCCTACTCGGCAAATCTCCATCAGATGCAAGACAAGAACAGCCCAAACTTCCAATTCCTGGTTTAGCATAACAATCTCAGAGAAATGTTCAGGCCTCTTGTCAAAGGTGGAAGGCCAAAGATTACCCCTTAGCTGGTTGAAGCCATAGAAATGATAATAAGACCACCATCTTGCTAAGGAGCTGGTGGATTGGAAATGTCCCACAGGTTTCTTGCAGGAAAAACTCCTTCCCTTGTCCCCTCCCATTCAGCCCATCGCTGAGGTCATGAGATGCTAACATCTGGCAATGTCAAGATCTAGGACTCATGTGGCAACAGTCAGCATCAAAGACCTACAGTCCTGGACATTCCTTTTGGCCCAGATCCCTCCAGGCCCAAGCCCCTCTTACCCCAAAGGCCCTTAAATATACCCAATTCCTAGCCCTTAGAAGCCACACTTGCTTCTGAGTGTTGCCCTCCTCTCCAATCTGTAAAAGGTAAATAAACTTTACTTCCTTTTACTTCTTACATGGTTGCAATTTTGCACTATTCCCACAGTACCAGCACCAGCCCATCTCGCCTCAGTTTACCTTCTCATCTGGTGGACCGAACAGGGATTTGCCCCAATATTCTTGGGGTGTCTCCCTTCTGCAACTCTTTTCCTTACTCTCCCCTCTTCCAACCTGTGTCTCCCTGTGGACTGTGCTAGAACTTGGTGGCAACCGACGGCTCTGGTGAGGGCCACTCCCCAGTGTGTCTGAAGGTCCCAGGAAAATGCAGTAGACTGATGGGGCCCGTTAGGGTGGGAAACTAAGGTCTATCCTCTACCTTGACGTGTAGCCAAGCCCTCTGAGTCTCTCTACGGACAGGCTAGATCTCGGTGGGCAACTGACTGTCTTTTCACCAGGGCGACTCCCTGGAAAGGCAAGAAGGCCCCCCCAAGGCAGGCTCTGGACCGCCAGCACCCAACCAGGTGAGACGAGGCACCCAGCTGTTATCCCTCGCTACCTACTCTGTTCCTGCTTTGCCTGAAAACGAGCTACACCCTGGGAAGCCCCACATCACCTCAGCCCTTCTCAATCAAGCACCACCTTAGGTGAGTCTTGCTGTTTATCTGGTCCTAGAAGTCACTCTGAAAGGTCACTCTTTTTCTTTCGCTTTGGGAAGCACGTTGCTAGTGTCTGGGACCCTCTGTGGAAAAGACTTGGTACAAATCCTCCCAAATGCAAACTGGAGCAGCCCTGGTAACGGTGGCTACGGAGCTGTCTTCAGTGGATTGGGGAAAGGGGTGACACCCTCTTTCCTTGGCATTCACATCACAAGCTGATTCCACCCTCCATCATCTGGGATGCCAGACTCAGGCGGTGGATGGTCTAATTCCAGCCTACGGTGGGCATAGGTGCGGAATGGTCTTCTCTCCCGTGGAACTCTCAAACGCAGTTCTTAGGACACGCTCTCCCCCTTCCAGGGCTCTACAATGGCAAATAGTTGGTCATGGGAAAAAACTCACTGTGGCATGTCTCTTAAAGATTCTTAAGACTCTTTTGTTGAAGAAAAATGTCAGCCCCAAACACCTCATATTTTGTTGTAACACAGTCTGGCCAGAACATAAGTTAGGCCACGGGGGAATCTGGCCACAAGGGGCTTCCTTCCATTTAACACCTAAGACAACTTGACTTACACATTAGAAATAACAAAAAGCATGCTAAAATTCTCTGTTGAGGCCTTTTTGAGCTAGCTCGTCATCAGGACTTACATTCCTCCTGTTGGATGTCTTTTTGACGCTGGCCACCTCTTCCTTGGACGGCTTGACCCTGCGGATCTAGCTGCCCGTTTCTCAGAACCCATCTCAGCCTCCTTCCCTTCCCTTCCGCAGGCTCCCCTTCCAGATCTGCCAGCACGTCCCCCCACCCATCTCTATACCCACCTCTACCTAGAGACATGAGTTCAGCGTCGACGGCCGCTGACCCCAGTCCTCTGTCTCTCCTGACCCAGCAATGTTTGCTAAGGAATTCCAATACCTTAACGACTCCTTGGGATCCTGTCCTCTCATCCCCTCCTCTTGCTCAGACAGGTAAAGACAGCTCTACGCCCCGTGTTCAGTAGGAAGTAGCTACAGAAGCCTGACTTTCATGCCTGTTCCCAGGTACATATAAGAATATTCTGGAAATAGTAAGAGGTGGGAAATGAAAGGAGAGACCCCGAGAAACTTAGTTCACATTTGCCTCAGTATAACCATTTTTGCTTAGACTGACATACTTTGAATCTAGCAAAGGCTAGACACAGATAGATAAATTTCCAATAGGCAGGCTTTAGGAAGCATTCAGACATTTTACTGCAGGCCAAGCTGACAGCCTACGCCATCCCCTCAGCAAATCTCCATCAGATGCAAGACAAGGACAGCCCAACTTTTCAATTCGTGGTTTAGCATAATCTCTAAGAAACTTTCAGGTTTCTTGTCAAAGGTGGAAGGCCCCTTAGCTGGCTAAAGCCATAGAAATGATAAGAAGACCATCTTCTGGCTAAGGAACTTGTGGATTGGAAATGTCTGATAGGTTTCAACATCAAAGATCTGAAGCTCTGGACATTCCTTTTGGCCCAGAAACCTCCAGGCCCAAACCCCCCCTTACCCCAAAGGCCCTTCAATATACCCAGTTCTTAGCCCTTAGAGGCCACACTTGCTCTGAGAGCCAGACCCCTTTCCATTCTGTGAAAGATAAATAATAAACTTTACATCCTCTTATCTGTTACTTGGTTGCAATCTTGCATTGTTCCCAAGATACTGGCCCACCTCGCTACAGTTTACACTTTCCCTTTGTTCTTTTTCCTCTCCAAAATCTTGATTAATGGGAGAAAAGGATTTCTGTGATCAGTCCTGGCTGTGGCTTTTGATACTTTTTGGTATGAATATTCCAACTGTTTGATCTCTTTCCTCCCCAAAATAGTCTTTTCCTCTGTCTTTATCATTCTGTGGTGCTCTGTCTCAAAGAGGGGTACTAGACGAGGTTCCCTCTCTTCTGGCTTTGTGTCCTGGAGAGCTTGAACTTGCGACCAAGTAGAAGTTCTCTCTCCTGGTGTCTGCCATCCAGGGGGTGGGATTTTTGAGTAGTCAGGTGGCCAGTGGAAAAACAGCTAAAAACCCAAGACTTTTTGTTCCAAACGTAAACAGCCCTATCCAAAGGGGCTTCTGCTGTCTCAACCCTTATTGTCTAGCTAGCAGAAGAAAAGTCCAAACCCAAGAGGGCTTACTGGGTGTCAGAGATGAGGAAGTCTGTGACTGGCAGTCCCCCACAAACTTGTAGGCTACCGGAGACCATCTAAGACAACCAGAACCTTTTAC